GTGTTGCGTTCTCTAAGTCTATTGGATTTGCTATACACAATGCTTAAATTGGCTTTGCAGCCGAAGATGACCGATGACAATGACGGATCTAAGATGTCACACTATTTGAAAGTGGTTACTGCAGTGAGCGCATACTGGTGAGTTGTTTCTATTAGCAATTGTTCCTAACATTCTTGGTTTTGATTTGATTGAGATGTTCGTAAACTTCTTACTCATCTGCGCCAAATCAGACTTTATTCAGATTGATTGTTTTTTGCTTCACCTTTTCTTTTTGAGTAGCAGGACTTTGTTGAAACTCACTCGAGCCTAAGTGTGCTGTGTTTAGAAGTGACCTTTTTAGATTAGGGTCAATTAGTGAGGGCGTAGATTATTAGCCGTTTGTAGGCTTCAACATACGTCGAATCAGTTGTCTTGAAGTTTGAGTTTGTTCTAGAAGGATGTGGGATCAAAATCGTCGCGTGCGCGTGTGATACGGTCTGCAACAAGGTAAAACGGCCACTGGATCTAATAGTCTTCTAATCTAATAGTTGCTTGTAATACAATAGTTGCTTGCCTTTTCTTGTAGCAATGCTTGCAATAACTGCTACGCCCCGAAAGAGGACAAGAGCCTCGAAGACAAAAATTATGAAAATCATTTTGAAGTTATAGCTAACCATCAGCAAGAACTTAAAAAAGTCATCAAGCAGAAGAATCATTGATAGGAGATCCCAAGGGCTGCAACCAATGATGTACAGGTGACTGGAGAAATTAGTGCGGCAAATGAATTTTGCGGTGGCACCCTATTACCAGTCAAGCAGTGTGTGTTGCCAAAATCACAAAGCGAAAAATGAATTCGAGCTGAATGCTCCTACTTTGCGCACTAGTTTGAGCAACCTTTTCCTTATCTGCTAAAGAGTGCTAGTCAATGCAGCACTCTTTAGCAGATAAGAAGTTCAATAATTCCGACGTTGTCAAAATTTGGGATCCGTCTACTTTAAATTAAAGCGAGAAGAATAGCTCAGAAAAGAGTTAAGGGAAATCGCGGCTAAGATGAGGACTGTGTTTCGGATCGAGATGCTTAGTTATTGTTTCCTATTATAAAAGTTATTGATTGTAAAAAAAACGACATTTTACCACCCTAACATTAATCACCTCCTTTCGTTTTCCCCAGCACATATTTGCATTTCATGTTTTTGTACGATAAGGAGAGGTGAGAAACTGCTCCAAAATTTCGTGATAACCTTTTAAGCGTGAGCCTTTCATCGGGTCGGCTGACGACGGTCCAGTTTAGTTTGAAAAAGATTGAAGCTCGAAAACTCACATTTCTAATGTTCAAGTTTTGATATCGCATCTCCCTTTATTATTTAGATCGTGAGCTTAGTACGGCTGTGTAGGGACACGTTGTGTAGTGGGTACGTGGGGCAGTGTAAGATTAATAACTATTTTGATTTGATTCGATTTATTACGTGGACATGTGCATCATGTGAAATGTCAGCAATAAATACAAAGAAAATGAAATAAAGTGATATAGGGGAGTCGGTTTCGAGTTTTGTTTGAAATGAGTTCTCATAGCTCAATACTATGGTGGTAAGGTTGTCAATGAAGTTTGAATAAAATAGTAGCCACTCATTTCTAACTCTATTTCTTGAATCAAGATTCCAAGTAATGAGACTCATGAAGTCTTTTATTCTATCTTTTTTTCAGGGTTTGTTCTATAGGGCTAGTGTTTCTAAACAAGTACCTCCTGAGCAGTAATGACCTGCAGGTTTGTAATGAATCGCATTTCTTTTTCATTGTTTGAGCTATTCTGCGACTTTTCAGCTGAACGCCCCGCTCTTCATTACATGGTTCCAATGTGTCGTGACCGTTGGCCTTTGCTTCTCTTTATCATTTTTGTCCAAGAACTTTCCACATACAATCACATTTCCTCGTATGACTCTAGATGCGAAAATCAGCAGAGAGGTACGTTTCCGTTAACAGCCGGATCAATCTTTTTCATCTCTGGTTACTTATCTAAGTTCTTTGTGGTTGAGTGCAGGAATACAGCTTGACTTTATTAAGCCGTATTTGGTCATTTTTATGGTCTAATTACATTTTTATTTCACACATGTTTTGTGCTTTTGAAGTGAAGTCAAGTGAACGAAGGCTCGCGGCGGTATCGCTTCTAACATTACATGGGCGAAGCAAAGCGAATTTGTCATCGCTTTTTATTAACCAGTTGGCGCCGCACGCATTGCGCGCGCAACACAGATCTGCGGCGAATTTTGATGGTGCGACGAAAATTTTCAAATTTGGCTTGATACATACGAATATCTGAATTCTCAGCTAAATTCTATCCGCTCCATCATCGACGGCTTTCAACCTCTTTTTCTTCGTCAACCATTATCCTCTTTTTCTCGGTCTCCGGACTGCTTCCGGACAATAAATCTCGTGGCAAACTCCGCCTACTTCGCCCACCAATAGCATTTGGCCCCTTCCTTTCGCCGACCTCTACCCCTTTTTTCACCGGTCTCTGGGACCTCTTGGAACCAAATTACGACACTTTTGGCAAACTCCGCCCACTTAGGTGCGTGCTCCGCCCACTAATAGCAGTTGACCTCCTTTCCTTCGCCGACCTCTACTCCCTTTTTCCCGGCCTCCGGGACTTCTTGGAGCCGAGTTATGAATTTTCGTCGCAAACTCCGCCCACTTTGGTCAAGCCCCGCCCACCGATGACAGCTGGCCTCCACTCCTCCACCCACCTCTATCCACCTTTTTCCCTCTTCCGACCAACCTTCTCCGAACGATGAAAAATGCTTCGCAAGGAGTTATTAAATAATTTATCCGGATACGCAAAACTCCGCCTAACTTTGGATCAAGTCAACCCCCGCCTACGAACTGAACCCGTGGCGTACCACCTCCTCCATACAGGCCTCCTCCAACGCATCTTTTTCAGACCTCACGGCCCTGCCGGAATTCTTTGGAAGCGCAGCGACTTTGTGAGTCTCACTAGGTCGCGCAACTCCGTCGCCACACTTGATCAAGCCCCGCCCACCGATGACAGCTGGCCTCCACTCCTCCACCCACCTCCATCCACCTTTTTCCCGGCCTCCGGGACTTCTTGGAGCCGAGTTATGAATTTTCGTCGCAAACTCCGCCCACTTTGGTCAAGCCCCGCCCACCATTGACAGCTGGCCTCCACTCCTCCATACACCTCTATCCACCTTTTTCCGGCTCTTTAGGACTTCCCCGACCCGAATTATGAGGGCTTGTAGAAAATGCTGTACACTTCAGAGCGC